AAATACAGGCCATCTGATGTTATTCTGTGCCTTCCTGATGCTTTTGATCATTATTAGTCTGTGACTTCTCTGACAGTCTTAAGTGAGTTTCGTAGTTTTGTGGTCCCTACTGAGTTCATCTGCTGAGTAACTCCAGCCAGAGGCTATTGGAAGGCAGGTTTGGTGTCAGGTGTGTCTGTGTTTTGAGTCATGCTCTAGAGTTCATCATCAGGCTTGGGCTCTTGAAGGTGTTGGGACTCGGGCTCTGTGCCCCTTGCTGCTGAGTTTCCTGCCCAGGGTGTGTTAGAGACAGCCCAGGATCCCTGAGACTTTCCGCCAATTTTAGTGGCATTGCTCAAAATTCTAAAGGTCATATCCTCATTATCATTCAATTCAAAATTAAAAATATTTTCTAATTGTCAGAATTTTTTTTTTTTAACCCATGGGTTATTTAAACTTCACTGACTAATGTGCAGCAAACATTTGGTATTTGGTCATTGATTCTTACCTAATCCCACTGTGGCTGGGTAACTCACTCACATTAAGATTTTAATATTTTGAAATTTGTTGAGATTTGCTTGTGATCGATTTTGGCAAAATTTCACACTGACTGGATGCTGTGTGTTTTAACTAACATTTAACAGGCTGAAAAGATCGTCCCGGCCACAGCCCTCCTAGTAGGCAGTGTGCTTCCTGGGTCTTCGTATAAGGCTCAGGTGAGGGCCAAGAGGCTGCGTGGCCCAGGAATCTGGAGTGACTGGACCCCCACACACACTTTCACCACACAAGGTAGGTTATGTGGGAGCAGCGTCCCCTGAGAGAGATACGTTTTCTGAATTTGCCTTTGGTGTATTATAGGCATCTTAAATTTTACGGCCTTAAAACAAAGGGTGGAACAAAATATTAACTTTTTTTTTTTTCTTTTTAAACCGTTATTCTTTTTTTTTTTTTAATTGAATGGTAACTATGTACTTTAATGCACTTCTGGGGTACAGTGTGGGGTTTTCACACACAATCCAAAATACTTCCATCAAACTGGTTAACATAGCCTTCGTGTCATTTTCTTAGTTATTGTTTTAAAATGTTCACATTCTACTCTTAGAAAGATTCACTTGTACCCTTGTAAGATAAACCTCAGAAGTGATCCCTCCAATCCCCCTCCCTCCACCCACTCCCCCCTAAAATATTAACTTTTAATTTACATTTCGAACATGCCAATTTGTTAAAATTGTGTCAGACGCACAAATCACCAACAGGTGTATGAAAAATTCCTCAGCATCATTAGTCATCAGAAAAGTGCAAATCGACACTCCCATGCAATGCTGCCTGACCAGTTAAAACAGCTGTTGTCAGAGGCAGGAATGAGGCTGCAGAGAAAGGGGTGTGACAGGCATCTGACGATCTGGTTCCGGAGATTTTTCTCTTTCTAGGGAAGGCTGCTAAATCTTCTGTTTTCAATTCCATGTTGTTGAATGAGCGGTCTTAGTGACCCGCTGTGCAACATGTGGACAGTGATAAACGAACAATCTCAGATCTCAAAGGTGTCCCACGTGGAAGTTTTTACACAGTGGCCCGACACAGGTGGGGGGAAGAGAAATTTCACAAAAGGGGTGGGAATCAACAGCTCCTATCTCTGCTAAGTGGTTATTAAATCAGCTGGTGAAATGTTTCCCTTCCACAGTAAAATGGCTTTATTTTTACCCTTTTACTTCTCTTTTTAAAATTTAAAAATATTGGGGTGCGTGTGTGTAAATGCTTTTATTACACGGGTACCTTTTATAATGCTACGTCTGGGCTGTTAGTGTGGCCATCACCTGAGCGTGTTTACAGGTACGTTTTCCCTCCTCCCACTGACCTCGTCCCCCGTCCTGGTTCCCATGTCCTTTTCCATCTTCATGTCCATGGGTGCTGACTGACTCACTCCCAGCTACAAGAGGGGACATGTGGCGTTTGTCTTCCCATTCCTGAGATAGTCCGCTTAGGACAGTGTCTCCAGTTCCATCCGAGTGGCTGGAAATGACACGCTTTCATTCTTTCTGTGGCTGAGTGGTACCCGTGGCTGACAGTGCACACGTGGTCTGCCATCCTCACGCCTCCCTTCTCACATCAGTTTTAATAAATTTGTTCAATATAAACTTCACAAAATTTCAGATTTCCATTAACTTGTTTTACTTATCTTTAGGCTAATATCTTAGTGCCTAATCATGCCAAATAGTATGACTTCCCTTTGATTTCACAGTTATACCTTACTTGTGCATTTGACTTCAAAGGGAACTGCTGTATTTCTTAAAAATCATCTTTAAAATGAAAAACTTTCATTCATGAAAGTTCATTCGTACTTAAAAAAAAAGTAACAGTTATTCTGAGACTTTCGAAACAGGTCAGTAGCATGGCTGTGGGGCATGATGAAGGTGGTTTAATGATCTCTGGGTCCATGCCAGGTGCTTGGCCATGGGGATGGACAGGGGAAGCTCAGGAGCCACCCTGGGCTCTGAGTACACTCAGCCGTGTCCTAAATCTAACTGTCCAACTTCTAGCCAGTAATGTCATGCTCCTAAGTTTCTTCGTATTTCTGTTTGATTACAGAGAAAACACTAATGTCTTGTATGGATGGTAAAATAAGACACTGATATTTAGCATATTATTATAGAATAGAGGAAACTTAATGAAACCAGTTAACGTGGGTTTTTTGTATTTTGTGTTAACAGATATTAATATTCTATCAGCAGATGATTTACCTTAAATTGTAGAACTGAAATGTACTAATAGTTTTATAATGCACGATGGTGCAAATAATTTATTCCTAAGTAAACCATCATTTACTTTTTTCTTGTCTCATTGAAATAGTAGGCAAACTGTGTTTCCAACAAGAGAGAAAAAATACTGTGAATAGTGTATAGGCACTAAAAATCGTGCTTAGGAAAATACTGGTTCCCCTTGTCCTCAGCCACATTAAATAACTCAAAGTGACATTACAGACCAGAATCTGTATGTCGGTGCTTAATTCATGTTACATTTCCTAACTATTTTTAATTTATACTTCGTTTTATTTATCTGCTTATTTGAAATTTTCACATAGTCAAATTAGGCAAGAGCAGCCATCATTTTTACTTGAGGATTTTGCTTCATAGGGCCCTGTTTTGAGAACTTGCCCTAAGTGTCCCTGAATCTTAAGAGACATGTCTGCTAAGCACATCACTATGGAATTAAACTGTATTTCATTGTTAGTTAATGTTGTGCTGAATACACCTGTGTTTAGGGATGGTGATGGCGCTCATGCTCGCAGAAGCTCATTCCCTGCAGAGCCCAGTCCCACGACCGTATGTAGACAGGTGCTCAGAGCTGCTGGTCTCTAACAGCTCCGGTCGTGTGCACAGCATCTCCAGCAGCTCGGGTCGTGTGCACAGCGTCTCCAGCAGCTCGGGTCGTGCACACAGCGCATCTCGGAACGTGCTGAGCGCGGCCTGTGCGAACCGCTCACTGGGTGTTTCCTGTTTGCGTCTGACGTCCCACTTGTCTCCTCTTATTACAGACGTCATATACTTTCCACCTAAAATCCTGACAAGTGTTGGATCTAACGTTTCCTTTCACTGCATCTATAAGAATGAAAACAAGATTGTTTCCTCAAAAAAGATTGTTTGGTGGATGAATTTAGCTGAGAAGATTTCCCAAAGCCAGTACCACGTCGTGAGTGACCGCATTAGCAAAGTCACGTTTGCCAACCTGAATGCAACCAGACCTCGCGGGAAGTTCACGTTCGACGCGGTGTACTGCTGCGCCGGGCCCGAGTGCCACCACCGCTACGCCGAGTTATACGTGATCGGTGAGGACCTGAGGCTCTCTGCTGTGTCCCGTAGGTTAAATGTTCATTGTGGACCCTCCCTGTATTACAGTCCAGTTGAAAATGTAAGGGAAACTTTTTATTGACTTCTTTTAGTGTTTTTGCTTTACATTAGTTTTTTTGTTGTTCATTCTTCTTTTTTGTTTTTAATTGTTGGGGGATTCACTGAGGGTACAGAACCAGGTTACATTGATTGCTTTTGTTAGATAAGTACCCTCTTATAATTGTGTTCCGCCCCTTGTCCCCCCACCACTCCTTCCCTTTCTCAGCTCTCCCCACCCCACCTCCCACCGAGTACTAGGACCTTAATTGTCCTCATATCAGAATTGAGCATGTAGGATTCTTGCTTCTCCATTCTTGTGATGCTTCCCTAAGAATAATGTGTTCCACTTCCATCCAGGTTGATACAAAAGATGTAAAGTCTCTATCTTTTTTAGTGGCTGAGTAGCATTAATATTTTAATATGTTTTAAATAGATGTCAATATCAACATCTCCTGTGAAACTGATGGACACTTAACCAGGATGACCTGCAGGTGGCCCACCCCTGCTGCCCAGTCGCTCGTGGGGAGCACTTTGCAACTGAGATACCACAGGTATGTGTGATTTTTGCTCTTTTGTTTTTCTATTAATATGGTGACATAAAAATTTTTATAGAAATATCACCATAACAGTAGTCTAGTGGGTTACTGTCTTCCTGAAAGAGGAAGATAGTATATGTATATAATTAATTGGAAAACTTTTGAGGGATTATGTAAATTAGTGATTCTTTAAAAAGATCACATCTGAGGTTAAAAAAAATCATAATCTGTGTGTTTTCTGAATATCAGTCAGTTCCATACAATTGCACTTTAGGATGAAATACTAGGAAAACACATTTGACGTACAGGATTCACTAGGGAAGAATGTGGAAGATTATGAAAGTTTAATATCATTTGGCTAAAAACTTCCAGGTAGAAGGAAAGATTGCCGAAGACAATATGAACAGTTTTTAGAACTAGGTGAGGTTATTTAGGAAATAAACAATAAAGAGTGAACTGTTCTTTTTTTTTTTAGACAGAGCCTCCAGCTATCCCCCTGGGTAGAGTGCCATGGCATCACAGCTCACAGCAACCTCCAACTCCTGGGCTCAAGCGAGTCTCCTGCCTCAGCCTCCCAAGTAGCTGGGACCACAGGAGCCCTCCACAACGCCCGGCCATTTTTTGGTTGCAGCCATCATTGTTGTTTTGGTGGGCCCGGGCTGGATTCAAACCCACCACCTTAGGTGTATGTGGCTGGCGCCCTAGCCACTTGAGCCACAGGCGCCAAGCCAAGAGTGAAATGTTCTAATAAGAAGCAACTTATTCCTTTTTTTTTTCTGCATTTTTTGGCCAGGGGCAGGTTTGAACCTGCCGTGTCTGGTATATGGGGCTGGTGCCCTACTCCTTGAGCCACAGGCGCCACCCAACTTGTTCCTTTTTTAAAAAATTTTTTCCTCTTTTAAAAAGAACTCAAGGCATTATTTTGGCATAAAATCCCCCATCTCTCTGCAAAGCATTTCATCTAAAATGGTATCAGCTCTGATTAGAAGACAGATACATTTTTATTTTTAAAGTGCAGCATACTAGTTTTCAAGTATGTGTCCTGCTCTTAAATACTATGTTGCAATTTCTATTTCTATTTGCCCTGTAGAAGTAGTTTGCATGTGCTAATTTATTCTCAAAATCTAAGTTTTCAACTTGAAAAACAAATCCCCTCTCTCAAATACTGTGCTCTGAATTCTATTCCCAATGCTGCTGATATATTCTTAAGTCACATCAGAAAAAATGTAGCAATTCCTACAATGTCTCGGATGGGAAATCCGCCTTCATGCTGCCTGACACAGTATTTTAAAGTCAGTGTTCATGGTATGACATTTCGCTTCTATAATCCGTCCTTATGTTCTTTCCATGGCGTTTTTACGTTAAAAAGGTGTTTGTGGAAGACTATTACATAAACCTCATATGCTTCGTTTATGTTTGGTAATATTTACAGAATAACCAAGGAACTAACTGGGTCACTTTCTTAACCTCCCAGGCCTCAGTTTCCTTGTGTGTGAATGGAGAGAGCAGTAGGACTTTTAGGATGTCTGTGGGCATTCGTGACATGTTCCACTTATTATAATTAAAGGATATAACTCCTCTTACTTAGTGAACACTCAGGAAATGTTATCACTGCCATGCTGGCAGTGGTGCAGGCTTTGGGTCCTGGTGGGCTGTAGTGCCTTCTGCACTGGGCTTGCCTCACATGTGCTGACAGCCCCGTCCCTCGCCACTGTTACCACGTAGGCACCTGTGCACACACACCTGCTTCTGTGATTGTAATATTGAGGAAATAAGAAAAAGAAGTGTTACGAAAAGTGCAAAATGAGAAAAGAACATAGACTTTATCTCCTCACTTCCTCACGTGGTGGTCTGTGGAGGTGACTGCTGTAGCCGACGTACACGCGTCCAGGCACACCTGTCCAGGCACACGTGTCCAGGCACACGTGTCCAGGCACACGGCAGCAGCAGGTTATTTCAGAGAAGAGGAGAAAGGCTCTGTGCACTCTCAGGTGGGGTGTTGGCCAGGACTAATTTATAATATATTTTTTAATTTCTCCTCTGAGAAAATGAGTAATACACTTGGTAGTGTAATTTATATACATGTCAGGGTTGGTATTATTTTAATTTATATTAATTTGAACTTGAAAATGTCAGGAAGCTTTAGTTTACAGTCAGGTGCAATCTCAGTCTGTGCTAAAATTTAATTCTGTGTTTCTGATGTGAGGGATTTTCCTTCCTTCCTATGCCAGGGGCGCCCCACGGCTACTTTTGATCTATACCTTCAATGTTGTGTCATTAATACGCACTGTTAGTTTAGCTTCTGAAGCATTATATGTTTTGTCTCTAACTGGATCTTATCTGCTCCTTAGAGCACTTAATTTATCCCCCCTTGGTGTCTAATGAAATATGTAGTGAATTACCATCAATTTCTATGGAAAGACTGAAGATTGGGAAATTAAAGGGAATTTAAGAATATCTTTCTAATAAAAACATCTATTTTTACATGGAGCAAATCTTTCTCTCTTTTAAATAATAAATCAGAATTCTCAGTTATCTTCTTAAGGCTTTTATTACTGTGGTATACTAATTGACTATTTTTGTATCTTTTAAGGAGCAGCCTTTACTGTTCTGACACTCCGTCTATCCATCCCATCTCTGAGCCCAAAGATTGCCGTGTGCAGAAGGACGGTTTTCAGGAATGCGTTTTCCAGCCCATCTTCCTGTTGTCTGGCTACACAATGTGGATCAGGGTCAGTCACCCACTGGGGTCGCTTGACTCTCCGCCGACCTGTGTCCTTCCCGATTCTGTGGGTACGTCAGACTGTGCCCCGGGTCTTCTGTCTTGTTAGCAGGTTTGGATGCGGATTGATTCAGGGCTTATGTTGTATCTTGACATTTTCGGATCGTACAAGCTTCTGGGAAAAAAAAATTGTTCCCGTTTACAGTATGATTGAGAAGATATTCAGCCTTAGAAAGCCTTGAAGGTTTGAGTTCATTTAAAATTATTTATAGCCTACATTTTCAGCAATGAAATATTTTCAGCATGCTAGTTGATAAACCACATGGGTTGCTAGGAATGAATGTTTGTGATGTTTTTCTAAGTAATGAATTATGTTCTCTGTTTTCCATCCACTGTACTTAACGGGTATTTTTAGTCCAAAAGTTTAATTTGGATATTCTGAGGGTTTGGTGTGTGAGTACTTGGAACCCCAGGGTTTTTTATTTGATAGGCTAGGTAGGGTATAGAAGCACTGAGAAGCCCAACTTGAAGTGGGGAAAACAGACAAGGATGATAAAATACTGTTTTCAAATGATAACTTGATTTCAAATTCACTATGAGAGCTTTTAGAAAATTTGATATATCCCTCAAATATTATTGTGAAATCTTTAAGAAATGACTTGTATACGGCAGTGCCTATGGCTCAGTCGGTGGTGCTGGCCCCATATACCGAGGGTGGCAGGTTTGAACCCAGCTCTGGCCAAACTGCAAAAAAAAAAAAAAAAGCATTGTGGTAGGCACCTTTAGTCCCAGCTACTCAGGAGGCTGAGGCAAGAGAATCACCTAAGCCCAGTAGTTAGAGGTTGCTGTGAGCTATGATGCCACGGCACTCCATCGAGGGAGATAAAGTGAGACTCTGTCTCTAAAAAATAAATAAATAAATGACTCATTTATGATTTGTAATATAAATGAAAGAATAGCTTTTGGTATTGTGTACTATTTTGTTGGGAAATGATGTCAAAAATCTATGTATGAGTCATTATTTTTCAATTAATTAATACACGTTTGAGTTAAAACTTAATTTTATTAAATACAGGGTCAGGTTATCTTATAGACTTCCTTTTAAATAGAAAGTCCAAATCAATTCATTCTCTTCCCACTATTTAATTTCATTTTAAGTGATTTTACTGCAAGTTATACTTTGCTGGTACTACATATCCTAGGATATAAGGGACCACTCCTACACCCCTCCCCAAACACGTGCAGATGATAACACGTACGTGACAAGTGCAACAGGGACTCAGTAGCACTTGGTGTCTGAGTAACCCTGGGTGCTGGGCTTCTCAAGTGAAGTAAAGAGTTTCAGTTAGGCTTGTATCACTGAGAACTAGAAAGCCACGTGGAAGTTCAACTTTGGGGCCCAGACACCATCCCCATCTCTCCCTTGCACATTTGGACTAGTCATATAAGCACCCTGTGTCTATTATATTATCCATTAAATGCAGGTGGCTCGTCACACAGTGCCAGCATGGGCATTGCGGGGCGTTTCTTTGATATTACTGTGTTACTATGATACCCTTTTCATGCAGAGACAAGGGAGCAATTTATAATCACGTGTTACTTTTAACTTTCAGATGGACATGGGAAATGTATTTTTTTTTGTCTAGCTGACCTCGTAATTTGCAAAAATACAGATAATCCCTTTTTTAATGTATCACATAAAGTAATGGGGAGCAAATGAGATAATGAATGAGAAAGTTTTGAAACATATACTGTTTTATAAATATAAGGTATAAGAATATAACAATGTTTTTAAGCTTTTTTATTTAAATTACCATTACATAATACTTTTTTTTTTTTTTTTTTACAATTTCTAGTAAAGCCACTGCCTCCATCCAGAGTGCAAGCAGAAATTACTGTAAACATTGGATTATTGAAAATATCTTGGGAAAAGCCAGTCTTTCCAGAAAATAACCTTCAGTACCAGATTCGCTATGGCTTAAATGGAAAAGACATACAATGGAAGGTACCTTGGCTCAGGAATTTCAGCTTTCCTAAGTACTACTTTTAGAACGTTTAAGAATTTCATTGTGTGGATTAATTTTACTGGCATGAAAGTACCTCTGCCTGTATTCTGTAGCCATTTTCATCACATAGATTGTTTTCAGCCTAACCTTTTTAAGGAACAAAATTTCCTGCAATCCAAAGTGTGTTTCTCAGAGCATTGGTCCCACAAATGTTCCTCGAAAAAAGATGGCATGGCTACCTCTTCCTGGCGTACAGTCATGGCGCGTGTCTTCCATAGTAAAGGTTTGAAGAGCTCCTACGTTAAGGGAAAGTGTGTGACTTTATTTCATCTCGTACTCCCCAAACTTACGTTTCTCAAGGAACTATTTTTCCTTTGACATCTGTTAGTAGCTTTCAGTACACACACATTCATCGCAATGAGCACTTTGGAGAAGCTGCTTTTCAAACAACCAGAATCATTCTCATGGTGGTGAGGGCGCCGGAGGGACCTCCAAGCCAGGTTTGTGACGGCTGCCTGCAGACACACCTGGGAGTATCTGTCACCCTCTGTGTCACTGGCCACAGTGATGTTAACTAGAACAGACTTGACAGTCTAGCCACTTACTGGGAGACTGAGTAGCAGGGATGCTTTATAGCCAGCTCCATCTAACCAATAGGTTAAAATTCTCAAATGTCTCTGTGGATAGAGGATCAGTGCACCAGGATCATTAGCAGGGTAAAACAGTGTTTGGGAAACGAGGTTGCATCCAAACTGGTCTAAATCTTGTCATCATTAAGAAAATAACAAGATGAAAAAGAAAATTCTTGACACTCCAAGCCTAATATGACTATTTCTAAAGCCAGAAAATGCAAAATCGGTTCTGATAATTTTGGAAGGGTGTTAAAGTTTTAAAATGAAATGGTCTTCAGGGCCCTTTGGATACAGGTGTGTTATTACTGGTCAGTCTGATGCTTTGGCCTGTTTTACAGATGCATGAGGTCTATGATGGAAAATCAAAGTCCGCCAGTGTCCTGGTGCCAGACCTGTGCGCCGTCTACACGGCCCAGGTGCGGTGCAGGAGGCTGGATGGACTGGGCTACTGGAGCAACTGGAGCAGTCCCGCCCACACCGTGATCACGGACATAAAAGGTCTGCAGAGATTTTGCAAGTGTGTTTTTGAAAATGCATAAATGTGTTTCAGATGTGGCTGAAAAGTAATCCTTACAAAAATATATGTACAACTTGAGTTCCTTATTTTGCAGTTCCTGTGAGGGGACCTGAATTTTGGAGAATAATCACTGGGGATATTACAAAAAAAGAGAGAAATGTCACCTTACTTTGGAAGGTATGCTTGCTTTTTAATGTCATTCTTAAATTTTACTTGAATACTCTTAAAAATGTATTTACTTCAGGCTCAGTGCCTGTAGCATGGTGGTTACGGTGCCAGCCACACAGTGAGGGTGGTGGGTTCGAACCCAGTCTGGGCCAGCTAAAACAACAATGAGAACTGCAACAAAAAATAGCCGAGCATTGTGGCGGGTGCCTGTAGTCCCCACTACTTGGGAGGCTGAGGTGAGAGAATTGCTTGAGTCCAAGAGTTTGAGGTTGCTGTGAGCTGTTACACCACAGCACTCTACCAAGGGTGACGTAGAGAGACTCGGTCTCAAAAAAAAAAAAGGTATTTATTTCACTGTCATCATTAACCTTCAGGAAACTCTGTAATTCCATATTTCTCTTTCACTCTGAGGTGTGATTGCAGACAGCGGGGGCACTGGCGTGGGGCTGGAGGCTTCAGTCCTCTCCTCACCTCAGCCTGTCACAGAGTGCCCTCACTGTCTGCAAAGTCACTTTGGGCCTCAGCTTCCTCACTTGCATAAATGTGAAGTCCAAAAGTTGTATTCATATTAATACTGAACGGTGTAAATCTGGCCTTCCCCACATACCCGAAGAGGAGTCTAAAACATGAGATGATCCCGTTTCTGTGATGGGGTGTCAGCAGTGATAACTCCATAACTACAGGTATTTAGCCTCACAGTTATCAAAGCCTTCACTCTCCCAGATGAATTGATTCTGTCCCAAGGGTATAGATTATTTAGTCAATAGATACTACTTTTCTTTTAATTTTTAGGACCATCCACATCTGATTAGTAGCTACAAATTTGAGATTGATTTGGGAATACACATATGAAGTGAAACAATGTTCCTGTCACCCCAAATGTGAAATTTAAATTAATTCCTAAGGTTGAATGAGCACATGTTTGAAAATGGTTTCTTGATCTAAGACTAATCCCTGTGTAAGAATTGGGGTGTATAAGGCTTTGTATTTATTTAGTTGGTAAACTGCTACATAATTTTATTTGATTTACAATCAATACAATTTCTAAACTGCTTTTTATTTCAATATTTCTAATTTGAAGTTAGCATCATAATAACTGACACTGGCATTTATTAAACATTTATTCTAAGCTCTGTATAGTGTATCCACCTCCTGGGGAATTTGGGGCCTGGACTCAAAGAGACCAAGTGGGCTGTGGACCTCCCTGAGGGACAGCTGGATAGAAGCGGTGATCCTGCCCAGCAGATCCATCTCCCTTGTGCTCCCTTTCTCTCTCCACGCACACTGCCCAGAGATCTGAGCGTTTCTACAGCCATGTTCCCAAGGCAGTGGTCGGCCAGCCACAAGCAGAACTAAAGAGGGTTTCTTCTGCTTAGATGTGTCCTCTCACAGCTGTGGCCAGCTGCCATGTGTCCCAGGCTGTAGCTGCGCCCCTGCTCCTCTGACCCCAAACACCTCAGAGCAAAGCAGCTGTGTTACTTCCCAGGGGGATCTGTGTTTTCCTTAGATCAGGGGTTACATATTTCTTCAGCAATCCTTTCTGGAAGGGTGGAAGTGGTTTCTATCTGCGTTGTCCAGAGTGGTAGACACCAGCCACACTAAGTACCTGAAATGTGTCTCACGTGACTCAGGAACTAATTTAAAGTTTTAAGTGGCCAGTGGCTGTCATGCTGGACAGCAGAAGGCTGTGGGCACCTTCCGGTTGGTCTGTGGGAGGAGACGGCACGATGATGGTCCCCGTCCTTGCAGGAGCTTGCATGCCTGTTACTAGCCAAATTGTCTTTCATGAAATCAGTGTTTGCTTCGTATTTAAACTGAGGTTAAATAGTTCAATGATCATAGTTCTCCAAGCCCGGTTCTCAGACCACAGGCCACGGGATAAGTACGGCACTTTGATAAAAACCCCATAATTTCTCTGTCATCTTTTAAATAATAAACTTTATTTTAGAGAAGTTACAGGTTTACAAAAGGAAAATAGCAAAGATAGTGCCGAGAGTTCCTGGTACACCCACACCAAGTCTTCTCTGGTTTTGACACTTTGCATTAGTCTGGTCTGTTTGCTACAGATAATCAGGCGATGTGGGGACGTTATTATAAAGTCCATAGTTAGTAAAGTTCGCATTTCTGTAGTTTTTCTAAACATTCTTTTCCTGGTCCAGGGCTCTGGCCAGGAGGGCACCTTGCATTTGTGGGGGTGCTTCCTCATGCCCTCCGGGCTGTATGGTTCCCTGGATCTTTGTCTTTGATGCACTTGACACATTGGTGTTTAAGATTATGGCCTGTTCTGTGGGAGAGGCTGAGTCGTGGGGTGCACCCCTTTCTCATCAGCTTTCTCTGGGCAGTTTTTTTACTGTCTGGCTCAGTCTCTCGCCCACATGTAGGTTGGAAACCCATCACCCCAGTCACAGAGCTCTTGGCTCACTCCTATAATCTCAGCATGTTGGGAGGTAGGAGTTCAAGATCAGCCGGGGGAGCACAGTGAGACCTGTCTCTACCAAACATTTAAAAAAACGAGCTGGGCACAGTGCACGTTGTCATAGTTGGACTGAGAGGTCACAGACAAGCAACAGAACGGTCCATGTGGCAGTAATTAGAGTCGCGTATTTAGCTCAGTACATGTATAAATGGATTCTGGGTTATTACACACACACATTTCTGTGGTTTGTAAGCTAAGTAGTAAGGTGGGTGTCCATAGTATTTCTATGACTATCGTGCAATAAAACCAACCAGAGATCTGGAGAAAAATGGCTAATTTTAAGGCTGGTGCAGGAAGTATTCAAGATAACCATGGAACCCTTTGTAGTGCCCGTGAGTGAGGCAGTTTAACATTACTTTTACTTAGGATTATACAAAATATTGCATATTAAAACTCATACAGATTTTTCGAACAAAAGGCAAAGTTTGTCTGATTTTTAAGAGTTTTCCTTCTGCAGTGTTTGCTCAAATCTTACTCTCAACCTGCTCACATGACTCCCAAGATCTGCACTGCTGCAGGTGTGCACAGGTGTGTTTAATTTTCTCTGCCGTTTCTAAACTAGAGCGACCCCAAAGGAAAAAAACTGAGATACACTTTCCCATATGTGGTGTAGGATCTCGCTTCCTATGGGCCTGTAAGGGGCTAAGAACCCTGAATCTCACCTGCAACAGGTGAGGGTGGTTGGGGTCGTAGGGTGAATTGTTAGACTCCATAGAATGGAAGAATAGAATTGGACTAGATATGTATTTTATTTTATTTATTTTTTGTGAGACAGAATCTCACTATGTTACCCTGGGTACAGTGCCTTGGTGTCATGGTTCACAGCAACCTCAAACTCTTGGGCTTGAGTGATTCTCTTGCCTCGGCCTCCCAGGTAGCTGGGACTACAGGTGCCTGCCACAATGCCCAGCTATTTTTTGTTGCAGTTGTCATTGTTGTTTAGCAGGCATGGGCTGGGTTTGAACCTGCCAGCCTCAGTGTATGTGGCTGCTGCTGTAATCACTTGCTACAGGGGCCAAGCCTAGGTATTTTAAATCAGAATCTTCAATGACCTGGTATAATTTTTTCTAAACTATAGGTGAGAAATTCTGGATTGCCAGATCCACGGTTCTGATGGTCTCCCTCACTTGTTAGTCTCTGGAAACTTCCCCTTCTAGATGATCAGAGGGAGGCAAGGTGAAGGGTGCATCATACCGGGACTCAGGAGTGAGCAGTTACATCTGCCCAGCTCTTTTGTTGCCGTCCATAATCTGAGGGTTATTTCTTGTTTGCTTTTTAGATGAGGGAACCATTCCTTGTCAGTGGCTCTAAATTTAAAGTGAGATTTGTTGGTAGAAAATTGTCTTAATTGTATCCTTTATCATCTTCAAGTGATTTATTCTGTGGGTCTTTAGGAAAAACCCCAGATGGGGAGAAGAAGTTTTCTGTGCTTCATAATCACTCTGACATCTGTGGCAAAGGCAGCCTGCATCCTGCCCCCTTCCCCGACCCTCAGCCTTATAATAGGAAAAGCCTATTCTGATGTGATCCTCACCTCCTGAGGAGAAATGTATAAAAAGTTCCCTGAGCTCGGTTGGCATAAAAAGCTCTGCAGTCCTTAAATTAATCAATTTTATGTTTACTACAGCCCCTGATGAAAAATGCCTCCTTGTGCAGTGTGAGGAGATACGTGATAAGCCACTACACCTCCCGCAACGGGACGTGGCTGGAGGACGTGGGGAACGGCACCAAATCCACCTTCCTGTGGACAGAACAAGCACATACGGTTACGGTCCTGGCCGTCAATTCAATTGGTGCTTCTTTTGCAAACTTTAATTTAACCTTCTCATGGCCTATGAACAAAGGTAAGAAGAGGGACAAAATGACAATCCGTTGTGCCTTTTAAGTCAACCTTTGCAAACTCTTCCATCTGTCTTTCAAGCAGCCTGCCGGGGTCTGCATGTGAAAACCTCTCTTCCCCTGCTCATCTCTTCTTTGTCTGAAAAATAACAAAATACATTGTGTACTGATGGTTTAATACAGTCCTTGGTAGAGCATTGTTGAACATTAAAATATTCTAATAAATCTGATACTTAAATCAATGTATTCGAGTCAGACCAATGGAGGCTGTAGGTCAAACTCTCTATCTTCCCCCCCATGCCAAAAAAACGCACATTTTAAGAAAGGAAAAAAAAAAACTGTATTAAAATTGTTATACTCAAGTTATGTTTGACTTCTGCAATTACAAGAGATACAAGATACAATAGACAAGATAACAAATGTTATTGTATATATTATTACAATTTTAATACAGTTTTTTCTCTCTTAAAATGTGTATAATTTTTTGGTGCCCTCTGTATATAACTGAAATGTCTGCAGTGTAAAAGTATATCTAGAGTATCATATATGTAAAATACCATGTATAATAACATGATATCATGTTATTGTATGTAACATTATATGTAAAATACCATGTATAATAACATGATATCATGTTAGAGTATCATATATGTAAATACCATGTATCATAACAATCATATATGTAAAATACCATGTATAATAACAATAATATATGTAAAATACCATGTAAAATACCATGTATAATAACGCAACATGTTTATGGATGCAGATTAGTTGCTGAGACTTAAAAATTACTGTGGACTTCATTTAATGTGAATAGTGAACTCTCCTTAATTTTGATGTATTTGATTGATCAGAGAATTGAGAACTACTTTCAATAGGAGTTTCTAAATTATATATTCAAAGCGTAAACTTTTAATAGAAAATGCAAGTTCTCTGTATCTCTACCAATTTTTAAAGGTTAGCTACTGCACGAAGTCTTCACTTATTGCTTTATTTGAATACGTCTGTATCCCTCCTTCAATCTCAGCACCCTTTCTACCTTTATTGAGGTGTTTTAGATCCTGCCTTATATTATGATCACTTTTGTATTTGAGCGTAATCTTCTTGTAAGTTCCATAGTGCCCAGCACCATGTCTTGCCCTTACAATTTTTTCAATAAATATATTCCATTAATGGAAATGTTTGTTGAATGCTGCAGGGTGCTAGGTGGTGGAATCCCAGCCTCCACAAGCATCCAGAGTCTCCTGGGTGCGATAGATACTAATCCAGTAATCACAGAAGTGAAGGGCTCTTTTCCAAGTGAGATAAGTGCCCTCGGGGAAGGAACATAATTTTGTAAAAGAAAAGAAGAAGAAAGGAAGCAGACCTGGCATGGGGTCAGAGAAGCCACCTGGAGGAAGTGGCACAGAGCCAAAATCTCAAAGAAGAGCAGGAATTAAACTTAACTTCCACCGAAGGTGGGGGTGTGGGAAGGGGAGAAGCCTTGGCTCCTGACAGAACAGCTTGACCAAGAGTCTTCATGGCACAGGACTGAATGAGGAAGGGCAGGCTGGCTTTGGTGTGCAAAAACACAACAGGTGGAGAGGCAGGTGGAGCCTGGGCCCTAGGGGGGAGGCTTGACAGGAATCTTGTCCTCAAACATGGGGATCCGCTGGAGGCTTTTATGTGGGACTGTGCTCAGGGCATGTGAAAATGAACAGGTGTGTAGGCTGAAAGCATCATTCTGTCGGCGGAGGGTGGAGTTTGGAAAGAATCAGAGGATGGATAATAGGCTTGTGCAGGATCACAGCTGAGAAACCTTCACCGTATCACAAATTTGTGTAGGATTCACGTAGAGCCTCATGTTCCTCAATATCACACATTTGTCTGCTTATGTAACTCTCGTAATACAAAATAAATGCCATGTGTTACGTTTGTCTGTAAACCTGCCTTCTCTTCCTCCTCTCCTGTTCCCGTAGGTTGTAAGTTCCTCAAGGGTGTTAGGAGATAGTCATTAATTTTTTCTTTTCCCCTCAGTAAATGTCGTGCAGTCACTCAGTGCCTACCCTATAAACAGCAGCTGCGTGATCCTCTCCTGGGTGCTCTCGCCCAGTGACTACAACCTAATGTATTTGATTATGGAGTGGAAAAACCTTAACGAAGATGAAGAAGTTAAGTGGCTTAGGGTCCCTTCAACTGTTAAGAAGTATTATATCTATGGTAAGTTTACCAAATTTTA